GTATTGTAAAAATAGATACTAATAGATACTAATGAGAGTAATGTTATGCTGTTGAGTAGTAACACACGAGGTAACGATGAATTAAGTCTGAAGGTGCATATTAATAATGAAATAATAGAACAAGTAAGAAGTATCAGATATTTAGGGATTGAAAGTGATGATAGATTAGTTTGGGATATCCACATTAAATCTCTTACCAAATCATTAAGTTATAAGATTTTTACTTTGAGAAAGCTCAGTAAATTTCTAAGCTCTTCCATTTTGAATAAAATATACAAAATGAACCATACAGCCAATCTTAGATTATTCTTGTTCCGTATGGGGGAACTGTTCTTTACAAGACAGAAATATTCTTTTAAGACTACAGAAAAGAGCTGCACGCAATTTCGTTGGGAACTTTGATTATGATGTAAACAGCTTGAATATAATGAATTCATTAAAATGGCAATCCATTGGTACGATTGTGCAATGAAGTGGAAATGGTTTTGACAGACATGGTCTTAACTCTAGACTTGCCAATACGTTGAATGTTGTTTTACCCAAGCCTAATCTTGAATGTTTTAAGAATTGTTTTAGATACGCTGGTGGTAAAATCTGGAATACCTTTTGCTTTAAACGTATGTACAAGGAAAAATTATTTTTAAACCTGTGTGATACAATGTCGATTCATATGTTCTTGACATGGCTCTGTCCTTCTCTCTCTCTCTCTCTCTCTCTCTCTCTCTCTCTCTCTCTCTCCCTTTCCCTCTCCTCCTCTTATTCTCTTTCTTTCTTTCTCTCTTTCCTTCTCTACTTTCTTCCAATATTTTCTCCTCTTCTAATCTTTTTGGTGATATTTTAATACCTTTTATTACGCATTAGAAGTAGTAAAAAGCACAAAACAAAAAAAAAAACGACAATGTAATAATTGAAATTAACAGCGGAAAAACATTAAGTCACTTTAAAAGTGATTTGATGTCTTTCCGCTGTTAATTTCAATGCTTTTTTCTACTTCTAATGCGTATTATTATAGTTTTATACTGTTTTTACCTTTGCTTTTGAGCTTTGGTGTTATCCATTATTTATATTTTCGTGTACTACATCTTTATTCTGTTCAGGACCATGATGTAAAACAGATTTTGTATCTACAATATACAAACAAAAGTCACCATGATTATTGTTATTATCAAGCGAATCTTTCTAGATGTTCGTGTATATCATCGTTTTCGTGGTACTTGAATACATTGTCCGGATTTGGTGATCAAGCGAATGGAACAATAATGCATTATACATGTAATAATCAAAATCGTTGAGCCTGTCATTAATAATATCATATTTTCAACAATGCCAGGAAAGTTTGATTGCCACACTATTTACAAGGTTGTGTTGATGTTATTTTTAAAGCGGAGCAGAACAAAAGCATGAGGGGGCGCTTCGCGCAAAACTGCTTATGACCTTGTTGACAATAAAATGGGTGGTGCTCCCAAGTGTAACCTCTTTTTCCATTGTGTTGCCGAGCAACGTTTGACGTCAGTTTGAATCAATATTGGAATTTATTGCACAATCACTGCCAACCGCGTCAATCAGGAAGGGTTGAATGATTTTTGGTTTCCCCGATACTTTCTCCGGCGAAACGCTTGGTGTACTCGATATCAACCATTCCTTAAAATTATAATAAGAGCAGAAGTAGGTTCTTGCATCGCGCTCGTGTCTTTCAAACTTGACACTCTTCGCGCTCCAAACGCGACCTCGATCAGCATTAGCATAGCTGCCATTTTGGCGCTCGATTATTTGAAGCAGTTTAATTCCTGCCAAGTACCCGTTGACTCATCTAGTGCGAGTGTAGCAAATGTAGATTAATATGTTGTCATAGAACGTTGCGGTAGGGATTCGAACCCCGTACCCGGTGGTTCACAGTCCGGTGATTTATCCATAAGACTTCGACATTGTTGTCGAAAGCACAAGGTCCAAGCTACTGCTTATGGGGGCAACACCCACATGTAAAATCGTATGGGGGCACCCCAGTAGACCCACAGCCGGCGAGACCGATGGCCCACAAACCCAGAAAAGTTGTCATAAGGTTTACCAGAGGACGTTCGGTCTCGTGAATCCTCAATTTAGGTTCTTGGTAGGCCTATACCATCATGGGAAACACAAACTACACTGAATTAGATTATTGACTCCTAAAATATACGTGATTATGTTGGTATCAGACATTTAACGTGCTATTTCTTAGGTCCATAATGATACACTAGTATACTCATTAATTCATTCATTCGTATCATTCGTTTGATGTCACTACAATGTGACTATCAATTTACATTCGTGCCATGAATTTCTGTACTTTTAACAGTGTCAGATTTTAGCTGCATGTCCGATTAGTTTTATAACAATATGCCATTGCAAAGACGCCACAAGTACAAAATTAATGACCTCCAAATACCAACAGACATTTTAAATATGGAAGTCCGAGTTTGCCTGTGCATTTTAGATAATACAACAATATACTCGTAGATCCTAATCAAACGATTGATCAAACGATGTCAAGTGGGATTCATTTACTGAGCCTATTCCAAAAAAAAGTCTTCATGTTTTTTTTGATGAAAAAGTGTAAAAGTTTCCAGTACTATCCAACGATTTTTGAGTACGCAATGTGCAGTGCGTTTATGGAGGTTATACTGCATGTCGATCATCTTTATTAAACTGCCTTCATTTAAAAAAAACCATCGACAATTTATAATAATGATGATGATGATGATGATAATTATGATGCAATGATGACGTGATAATGAATGTTTTACATAGGGATTTCGTATGGAGCTTGTTGCAGTGGTATTCATCAGTTACTGAGTATGTCTCTGTTAATATTAAAATTAACAAATATATGTTTGTTTCCAATACACAAGAATGTGAATAAACATCGAATTGGTTTGACAAATCCATCGGAAATGGCAAATCACTAAACAATATAACCACGATTGTTGAATGTTCTAGTCGGTATCTCTGTTTGCAGTCGTTTGTTGTAAACACCGTTGGTGAAATGAACAATAGTTATGACGTGGTATGATTTTTTGTGATTTTGTATTAATCATTGTTTTAATTAGATATCCTTGTGCGGGATGGTGTGGTAAGGACATGCAAATATTTATCACAATTTGACGTGTGCTTAAATCAACCACTTTGTAGGTTACACGTGTTTTCACATACCAATTCAAACTTTGTTTTTTTGTTGTTATTTTTCATTCGTTAAAGATACTGGCCCGAATTCACAAGGAGGTTTGTCAACAAACCTTGGTTTTCGTACGTCATATGACGCGTTTTACGCGTTTTTTACAAACCTGGTTTGTAAAGAACAAAAGGAGGTTTGAGCTCAAACCTTGGTCTGAGCTCAAACCTTGCTTTGTGAATTCGGGCCATTATGTCCCTTTTGCAGCCAACATCAAATTCTGTAGAACTGTGCAGGAATTATGAATATAATCATGTATGTCCTATCTGTGAAATTTAAACATTACCATTGTCCTAGTATTCAAATTATGCAAGGAAATCCGTTTACCTTCTAGACTTCACTGTATGACACCATTGACTAACTGACGGACATATTTTTGTCTTTGGTAATAACATGTATACATACATAATATGAGCTGTAACAGGTACATGATCATTTGTCTACATCAATAACCCACTACTTGTAAAATTTGCCAAATCTACAGGGCACATGACATCGAAATACAAATGTATTCCTGTTGGTGTGCAGTCCTGCATACATATCATATTTTGATATGTAAACTTCTGAATTTGTTTCATAAATTTTGAAATATTTTTTGAAATATTTGTTTTTCAAACTTGCTAAACTCCACCCAAAAAACCTCCAGATCTCATTCCCCTTGTGACATCATTTGTCAGTCATCAATGAGCTAACTTGAGAAAGTGGTATGTATCTTTGCCGAAGTCGACCACATGTTACAATGCGTAATACAATAGCAACATACAAGTTGCTGTGTCAGACATGCCGTAGCATCACCAGGAAGACAAAGGCAATGATGATGTATTGTATATATGTATATGGAAGCATGCAATTCTATTATGAACGTGTGCTAAGCTGGGGGAAATTACATACCATTGTCTATTCTAGAATATTAGTTTAGTCTGACATGTCTGACATAGCAACTAATATGTTGCTATCGTATTACGTATTGTAACAAGTGGTCAACTTTGGCAAAGTTACATGCCACTTTCTCAAGTTAGCTGATTGATGACTGACAGATGATGTCACAAGGGGGGGGGGGGCGTTAAACGGATAGCATGCATTTAACATTTCATGTGTGTATGTGTGTATTGTGTTTTTTACAGACGTGTGTCAATCAAACATGATTATTTGCGTCTGGGGACCGACCTTTAAACGTCACCATCCGAAAGACGTGACTCAGTTTCGAACCTGCGTCCTCGGCTGAATCAGTTTGTAACTTCCACTGTTAGCTGGATTACAGGCGCACGCCACAACGCCTAGTTGTTAACATCATTAACATCCTTCTGGCACTTAAACTGACGCAATTACAGTTTACTGATGGTTAGACAATTTGCTACACTAGCGATCTTCCTCCAAGTAAATATAATTATTAGCTAAATTACTACTCTTGTTTAATTTGTTTCAAATTCAATGTTTCCAAAGTGACAAGCTATGACCATGAAAAACAAGTTTGCACACACAATCCAGCAAGGCGAGAGATTGTGATGAGGAAATAATGATTCACGCTGTCAGAATATGCAAACAAATATGACGCCCCCAAAAATATGTTTTTAATTTCGAATATAGTTTGTGGCTATTAACCTAGGCGGATGTTAATATGCGCACTTTGTGGTTTCAGGGGAATGGGGGGGGGGGGCATATTTCTCATTGATGCTTATTTAAGGGTTGCCGGCATGAGCATCTCACCATTCGTCGAATCTTTGCTGGTCTATCCTCCTCATCTTCGATTCTCTTCGGATTTCCCCCAGCCTGCTATCACACTTTTCATAGGTTTTCATCCATCTGACTTTTCAAAAGAGCAAGGTAACGTGATATTATATTGCTTTCTTCATGTGAAGCGCACTTTTCTTTTTGCGACATAATTATTAGTGAGGCAAAAGGTTGAAAATGAGATTAAGTCTGATTGAAGGTGAACAAAAATCTGGAATTTTGCACATTATATATTCATCTTCGTTTATAAAATGTAAAAACTACGTTGCCGTTCTTCATTGATCAAGTGGCAATTATTCTTCCTCTTATTTTTGTGATGGGGACATATCCATTCTTTCCAATATCCCAAGTAGCAAACGAGTAATCAGTACAGGAGACTATTGAATAGAGGAAACATATCTTTTGTTCAATTTCAAGTCAAATGTATTATAGAGTCGCATGAATTAAGAGTGTGAAACTAATTGTTTACCACATGCGAGCTTACGTTTCTACTGAAATCAAACCAAATTGGAAAGCACCTCAACAGTCGTAGGCCTATTTTAGAATTAGTGGAAAGTGTACAAAATATAACTCTAGTTGTGTATCACATGTTTTTCAGCTAGGTTGTGATCTGAATAATGCAGTACCACGCCTCTTCCAATTTTTTTTCTTCTCATCGCGCATTTTTTTCAAAACGAGAATAACAAAAAGGAAATCGCTTCCAACTCTGTTCATTCACTCAGCATTTATCTTCTGGTCACTCACTGCGGCAATTCATTATTGTATTTCTCACAAGTTTTTAAATAAGTTTGAAATACTTCATTGACTACGATCCTTGACAGTTTCACCCGATCGAATTCTCTCTAAGACGACTTTTCACCGAGGACAGTTACCTCGGACTATCCCCTTATAGGAAAAGTATCTCTGTCAAAAGCAATTTTGGTGACATTACTTTTACGATGGAGTAGTTGTCCGGGAATAATTGTCCTAGGGGCATTTGTCTAAGGATGTTTGTCCGGGAAATTTGGAGGGTAGCTTTCCTCATATATATAGGCTCCATGAAATAGTGCTAAATATCACTTAGAACATAACGCATTTCCTTGTCCTTGATTCTTAATTCTCCCGTCCAAATATATTTTTATTTACATTGTCCTCGAAACACCTTGCTTCTTGACCATACATTATACTTTATTTTAGTAGTACGGTTTTGTTACTGTTCTGTTAGTATGAATCTGAATTGTTTTTATGTAAATGTGGAACAAATAAAATTCGAACTTCAAATATGGTTGTTCCTCTGTAGGAACGGAAAACTTCATTGAAAAAGTGTAATGCAAGGTGCGTTGGACAAGTTGGAAAATTGTGAATGTTCGAAAGCTGATATCACTAAATCTCTAATTGGCGGATTGGTCGACTGTACTGGGCACAATAATATTCTCCAATTCGTTTTACGTTCTGAAATTGATTAAAATTATCACGTTACAATATAACATACTGCTTGGTGGTGAAATTTAGGAAAACTCTAATTGCAGCCATTTTGTTTGTGTAGGGGCAACTCAATATGCGGATAAGAAAGATGGTCTGTAATTGTACGCTATTTGTACCGGGTTACATGATCATGAAAGACTTCAAGGTGACATTTCTAGAAATTAGGCCTACACAAGTTCTGCAAAAATGGCTAAATTTCTAAGTGTTCATCCGAATTCGCTCACATTTTTACAAATCTCTTGCTGTAGTCCTTGCTGAAAAATAAGGATTTCTATTGCAATATGTGCATAATTGTGTGCAAAGACTTTAGATAACTGTATTAAATATTACATATAAAATCAAGCTCCGATTATGTAATTCATCACTGTAATAACTTATTTGTAACTCACTTGATCCAGGATTATTCAGTCTTTAGACTGATGTTCCTATCCATGGTTTCCTTTGGTTGGGGTTGTCATCATATTCATCTGGGGCTTCTTTCCACCAGTTCTCAAGTCTGGATTTGAAGCGATTGATAGTCCGCACATTTCAAAAGGTGACGAACAAGGCTATTGAGATTGTCTTAGGGTGATTTTTCAGGAGTCTTTGCGATAAGTTAGACCTCTTTGGTTATGTGAACAGATGATATTGGTTTGGTTGTTCGCATGTATATAATTTTGTATGTGTTTCTATTGTAATTTCATCTTTTTGTCTTGATTTTCTGTATTGCCAACTTTTGCTGGTGAATGGCATAATTTCACATTTGTGGACAAGAATAAATAGACCATCAATTTGAATGTACTGTATATTATTTTTTACCTCCATGCACATAACCCCAGATGGCGCTTTTCAGGTTTACGGTCGTTTTTCTGGCTTTAACGTGCCTTATGATGGACCAAATGATGGTGCATGGTAGAAGCGGTAAGTAAATTTGGCTAATAAGTCCATTTTTTTTACTGTCAGGAAGTTCACTCCGATTCAAAGATTATTTCTAAATAAACTAGTCCGTATATAGCCCCTGTCAAAAATTATGTCAATTAGGCACATCATTTCTTAGCATATATAGGGTTCCTACGCTCTGCATCCCGAGGTAACGAAGGCACTATATTGCCTCGGGTTCAGAAATAGAATTCCATGATCATTTCAACTGTTTATCTAGTCAACTGCCTGGACTGTTTCCGTGTCGCGAGTGAGCACTATATATATATATTTTTTGCTCCCGAAAATTTTATCGCGCCGGCCGAAAAGTCGCTCAGTTGGGGGGGGGGGGGGGGTAGTGAGCACATTTTTTTGGGGGGTCCTCGATAATTTAAAAATTTGCACCCCCCCCCCCGAAAAAAAAGGTAAAAATCACGTGTTTTTACATGATTTTTTTTTCAAGGGGGGGGGCCGGGACCCCCGCCCCCTCCCCCTGGATCCGCCACTGACTGCATGTGCTAACTACAAACTGGTCTATTGTATGTGGTTACAACTGCCCCATGGGTGTGTTACAATTGCCCCATGGATGTGTTACAATTGCCCCGTGTTGTGGGGGCAATTGCAATACTTGACTTCCGGGTTTGAAATGATCAAATATTAAACCTGTTTTACTTAACCCAAACCTATTCATAATTCAAGCCAAGATATGCATCTTTCATTTCATATGCCTTTAAGTAAGTATTAAACTTTTAACAAGTTGATATGTCAGACTTGGAAAAAAAATGTTACAATATTATTGTCCCCATTCTCCCCTACATCTATGTTACATGGATAGCAAACACAAATGATAGCAAACAATAAGCGTCTCACGTTATAGCTAATGAATACCTTTAGGAAAAAAAATACTTATACGTGTTGCTTTCTGATTAAAACTTTAGCCGGGGGCCGGGGACTGGTGTATGACGACGACGAGTTCACTGAACGTCAAGCAAGAAAGGCTGTCCTTGAGCGTAACAAGCGTTCTTCGTCTGGGTCGTCTGACTCGTCTGACGCATCTGACTCAGACAGTGTCGAGATGACAATGGCACCAACGACAACTGCACAGCCACCCGATGTTCCATGTAAGTAATGGCCGGTACACACAAGGAGTTATTTTCCGCGACTTATGATTGCGATGCGACTTATATGGCCTTTGAGGCGCCATGCCATGGTGATATCGTGACCAAACAAAATTAAAAACAAACAAAAAAAACTTTAATCAAATGTACAGAGCAAACAAGGAATTTCTGGCGTATGTGGTTGTTTCCTTCACAGCACTAATAAGCGCAGGTAATAAGGAAGTAGACATTTTGCCTAATGTGAAACAGAGCGATACTGAACTGGTGAAGTTCCTGGCCTGCCCCAGGCGCGGATCCAGGATTTCTTAGGGGAGGGGGCCCAACTTTTTTTTTTTTTTGCTCCCGAAAATTTGAAAAACGCGCCGGCCAAAAATTCGCTCAGTGGGGGGGGGGGGGGGGGGGGGGGGGGGGGGGGGGGGGGGGGGGGGGGGGGGGGGGGTGGGGGGGGGGGGGGGGTAGCACATTTTTTTTTTTTTTGATCCTCAAAAAAATTTCAATTTGCACCCCCCCCCCCCCTTGAGCGCCAGGGGGGGGGGGGCCCAACCCCCCAAAAGGTAAAAATCACGTGATTTTACATGATTTTTTTTCTCAAGGGGGGGGGGGGGGCCCCCCGGGCCCCCCGGGCCCCCCCCCCCCTGGATCCGCCACTGGCCTGCCCTACCGTACTGTTTTTGCACATCGCCATCTGATCGTCAATTGCCAACAGTGCGTCATACAGTGCGTCCCAGAAAAAATGAAACCGAGAATTATCGATGTTTTATCATAGCTTAATCACAATTATAATTAATAAATTACAAATATTTGTAAAGCTTAGATCCTCTTCCTCTTTCATTTGAAGCAACTCGTATGATGTATATTTCACGCATTAGCGATTGAAAGCGATTTGAAGAGAGGATACCAAAGGGTCATTTGGCGGGCAGTATCTGAATTTCACAGAGAAAAATCACATTTCTAGAAAGTTCATATTTTGCCCTTTCATATGACGCCTCAATCAGGTCTCTCCGTTCCCAGAGGATAGGGGGGGGGGGGTTAAAGTAATGCTTGCATTTCCATAATTTGATTAATCGAATTTGTTTTCACTGGCTGCCTGCCGTAGCAGCAAACAGAGTTGACGAAAGCGAAAGACTTAACTCCAGTTTGTTGTCGATCAGCCATGCAAAAACAACTTTGTTATTCCTGGCTCATTTTTCCTGATTGAGGTGTCATATGAAAGGGCAGAAAATGAACTTTTTAAAAATGTGATTTTCTTTGTAAAATTTAAACACCGCCCGCCAAATGACTTTTTGGTAACCTCTACTTAAATTGCTTTTAATCACTCATGCGTGAAATATGGATCATATGAGTTGCATCAAATGAAAGAGGACGATCTAAGCTTTACAAATACGTATCATTTATTAATTGTAATTTTTATTAAGCATAGAAGAGGACTCCATGCTAAATCCAAAAGAGTAGCTAGATAAGCAGCGAGTTACTGAAGAAAACAAGGAATGGCGCGTAAGCGTGTCACGCTTCACTATATCTGTATCTTATAACACACACCAATATACATGTATAGTAATTACGCCAAGCTACCTTTTATTCACCTTTACTTGCCATTAAAGAAACTTATCTTAAAACTATCTGCTGCAGCAAGATGGGTTCATGAAAGTATGTACAAAATTTCAGATAAAAGACTAAGTGCTTTCTGTCTATGAGTCAAAATTAAAGCCCTCATTTTATAAACAACAAATGGGGTGAATAAGACAATAACATAACATTCAAGACTGAAAGAATAGTGACTGCAAATTGCTAATAATGATTATTTTGCCATCATGCTTAAAGTTTAAAATTATGATCTTTTACAACATTTATTACAAGGGATACTTTCACCTTGAAAAAATAAGAAGAAGAAGAAGAAAGAAAACTTCTTTTTTTCCAGCAAGTCTTTATGGCAATTTGCCCAACAGTAAATTATAAACTCAGAATCAAAGAGGTGTAGAATAACAAAATGTTAATTGTGTTTCAATTCATAAACATGTAAATTATTTTATACTTTTTTTTTACCCCCCCCCCCCTCTCTCTCTCTCTCTCTCTCTCTCTCTCTCTTTCTCTCTCTCTTTCTCTCTCCCTCTCTCCCTCTCTCCCTCTATCGCTGCATGCACCTATGTAGCTGTAACACTTGCATGTGAAAATGCTGTCAATCCTGTTATTACGTGTCCAGCTGGCCAAGAAATACTTATCGTCGGAGTTACGTATGGCCGTCTAGATACGACCACTTGTACTGATGGTATCGACCCCAGTCTAACAAGCTCGACCACCTGTTTATCAACGGAAGCCACCGATATCGTCGAAACCCTGTGTAACGGCATGGTAACTTGTACGGTTCCTACAGGCGATGGGCCATCACCTAATGGCTTAGGCAATGATCCAAGTGACGGAAGTTGTGCTGGCGTATTCAAGTACGTCGAAGTACTCAGCACTTGTACAACATAGCGCATATCACAATATGTCTATATGCGCTGTAAGAAAGAGTAAGAAGGAAAGGTGGATAGAATTACATAAGAAGAGTGAGATGTGCTCAACATACTGCCTCTCGTTAACATTGGAAAGTATTTTTGAAAAGAAATGTTTTAAGACGCGCCTAAAAGTTGTCAACAGTATCACAGTTTTCTTAGATTTTCCGGTAAGAGCGAGACCCGTAGAATTTAGAATTTATTTGTGGAATGGTGAGGAGAGACTTTTGGGAAGATCTGAGGGTTCTGTTTGGAACAAATAGGTTAAGTAATTCCGATAAATAAGAAGGACTTAATCCTTTCAGGCACTTAAAGGTTAAAACAGTTCTTGTACTCAATTCTAGCGGGGACAAGTAACCAGTGTAGTTTTTTTTCAGAATAGGGGAGATTATGTTCACTTGAACAAGATCTCGTAACAAGCCGTGCGGCAGAATTTTGGATTCTTGGATTCGATTCAGTTGCTTTTCAGGTAGATTGTAGAGAAGAGCATTACAGTTATTGATATGACACATTATAAGAATATGAACTAGTCGTTCTGTCAGTTTCTCAGCTAAGTAACACCTAATTTGTCCTATTTTATATAAAGAGAAGGAGACTGCACGGCAAACCTTACTTACTTGATCAGTCAGTAATAAATGTTTGCCAAATATAACACCTACATTTCGAACGATTTCTGACGGTTGTAAAACATGGCCTTCCAGCAATATTGCAGGGCATTCAGTTTGGCGAAATCGTGAGGAAACATGAATTACTTGTGTTTTCTTTTCATTCAAGAACAAGGAATTATTGTAAGACCATGTTTTAACATTATTAAGATTTTGTTTTAAAACGTTTTAGACATTTTGGTTTTAAAGCTTATGTTCACTAGTTTGGCCAAGAGGGATTAGACCGCACAGCGAGATCACTGACAAGTGGCTATCTCATCAACTCAGCTCTCAACTAACATAAGAAATAGTGGATCATGGGGGACCAACAGGCACCGATTGGGGAACTTTTCTATAAAGAGGGAGCGAATAGCTACAAGTAGGACAGTGAGGATTTAATACTGAAAGTTCATTAAAATGAAGAAAAAAATTATTTAAATTGTTGATACTGTATTTAAATAATATAGTTTGAAGAAGAAAAAACCTCCCAAATAGTTATCCCAAATAGTACTTTTCAGAGCAACCTTAAAATGGTTGAATATTTCTGGTCACTTCAAGAGCTCTCAACCAATAAAAAAACAATAAATTTCCTCTTCCCACTCAGTTTTCTGTCCTATTACAATCATGGAAGATAGTTTAATAGAGGGATGCTCATACTTTTTGCAACATACGAACATAATTATGAACTGTGATATAATTGTAGTAAGCGGGTAAGCATTCACACGATTAATGTCTATTTACATGACTTTGTACATTGTATGTGCACTGTATATTATTAGAATTAGTTGTAAAATCATCGTTACAATAGAAAGCAAAACACAATGTCTGTTAATGTACTTTCTTAAACTCTCAGATAACTTAAGTCAAGAGATGAGGAAGGAAAGGCGAGGGAATGTAGGGAGAAAAGCAGATGGAGGGGCTAAAAGTGGAATGCTTTGATAACTTATTTAAAGTTTAGTTGTTAAATTTAGTTTGTCTCCTGTAATCAAAGTAAAGCTATGTGTCATCAAGATTAACATATATTTGTAAAGTTCACGGTTCATAGACAAATTGTTTAATTCATTAAATAGATCATCGTAGAAAAATAATGATTTGATTGCACTTATTTGTCTCGATGATGAAATCCGTTTTTCAACATTACGCTATGAATGATAACACAACTAATCGTTCTCCCCCATCCCTCTCTCTCTCTCTCTCTCTCTCTCTCCTCTCTCTATATATATATATTATCATACTTATTGTCTGACAATGTTTATCAATATTTTCCTCCTTATCAACGTACATTTTTTTCTTGGAAAATAAAGGAAAGGGGGAAGAGAAGGCCGCGAGAGAAAGAGAGAGAGAGAGAGAGGGGGGGGGGGGGAGAAAGAAGGTGTGAGAGAGAGAAGGAGGGAAATAGGGATGCACTTATTTGTCTTGATGGTGAAATCCGTTTTTTGAACATTACGCTTAAATGATTTATCAATGTTTTTTGTGACGTTTGTTACGTGACACAGCATGTTTGAAAGATGACACATTAATCATCCCCTCTTCTCTTCCCCCTCTCTCCACCTCTCTCCACCTCTCTCTCTCTCTCTCTCTCTCTCTCTCTCTCTCTCTCTATGTATTATCGTACTTATTGCCTGAAAATGTTTATCAATATCTTCCTCCTTATCAATGTACATTTTTTTTCTTGGAAAAAAAGGAAAGGGGGAAAGAGAAGGCCGCGAGAGAGAGAGAGAGAGAGAGGGAGGGAGAGAGAGATAGAGAGAGAGAGAGGGACAGAGAGAGAGAGAGAGAGAGAAGGGAGAAAGAGAGAGAGAAGGAGGGAGAGAGGAAGAGAGAGAGAGAGAGAGAGGGTAAAATATGGAATTCACACAAGTATAATATCTAGAGATTGGAAAGCTGTGTATATCGGATTGACGACAGAAGTAGGGGAGGGTAGAGTAGGTCTATTAAACAGGGAGACACAATGTTTTCAGTTATACTCATATTGGACCTTCAACAAAATAATGTGAATACCAGAACAAATATGCAACGAGCATTTGATTATTAAAAGGATAGTTGAGTTTTGTTGCAGAGGGCGCTACCCAAAATATATTTTTTGGTGAGATAATGAAAAAATGAGTGTCCAATCTGAAACAACATAAAATTTAAATGACAAAATCATCTGTGTTTGATCGGAATCGGTTTAGGGACGGCTGAAATATCCATAAATACAACAATTTTAATATTTGTGGGTTCTCACTAACATTTGATAATTTTGAACCGGCCGTTGAAATCAAGATAGCACCTTATACGTTTTGAGGGGCCCAAGCCCCCCCCCCCCCCCCCCACCCCAATAAAATTAAACCATGACTTATTTCTATTCCATACAAGTGATGTATAAATGTTCGTGATATCACGTGATTTTCAACAAAATGCGCGCTTCTCCATTTCTGTTGCGACACATTCCCAATAGCTAGGAAGAGCATATGTTTTTTTTATAGTCTCTAATGGGCCTAATAGTGGCCACTCACAGAAACACTAGTAAAAAAAAATTCCTTTCCAGAACCTACTGCGACAAGTACTGTCGGGAGAACGTTCCATACGTACAGCATGTAACACTCCAGTAAATTCAGACAAAGTTTTCACGCTTCGCGCGGGAGGGGGGGGGGGGGGTAACTGAATTCAGACAAGGACACGATACAACGAATCGTCTTCTTTCTCTAATAATTCAATGAAACGTGAAAGCTTCCGTGCTTCGCGCGGGATGCGCGTTTCCGTTTTACACCCTGCCCTAGGCTTTTCTCCAATAAAATTTTACAAACCGACTGGTATTCGGAGTCTAGTCGTCCACATCTTGCCTCGGCGCTCTGCACACCACCAGAACTCTGAAAACGTCACGTAGCGCTAGCTAACTCTCTATACTAACTAGTTGATCTTCCTAGTCGTATCATTTATTTTTATCCATTAATACGCAATACTCTAAGAGCGTGAGGATGCGTGATCAGCTCGCAAAATTTAGCCCAGCGATAACAAAACAATAATATATCGGGAAAACCGTCTTGAACAAGAAGACCCTCGCATCCCCAATTGAAATTGTACATAAGCTTTGGCTTCGCTATTCTTGACGTCGATATAAACAAACTTCGACTTCGGATACAGCATGTTTCGTGTAATTTCTTGCCGAAAAGCCTAGGGCAGGGTGTAAAACGGAAACGCGCGCGCGGGATAGGCGAAAATGAATTGAGATAAGGATTAAGGTTAATAATTTATTGAAACGTCAAACTTCCGCGCTTTACGCGGGAGGGGGAAACTGAATTCCGACAAGGACACGATACAACGAATCGTCTTCTTTCTCTCATAATAAAATGAAACGTCGTAGCTTCTGCGCTTCACGCAGGAGGGGGGAACAAGAATTAAGAGTCGAGAACGGTACAACGGATCGTCTTTTTTTCTCTAATAATTTAATGAAGTATCAAAGCTTCCGCGCTTCGCGCGGGTGGGGAAAAACTGAAAAATAACTTAGTTCCTGGTTTCGCGCCTTCTTCCTTGTGATACAAGTTCTTTGATTATATTTATGTTCCTACTTTGTAATTGTATAAATTGTATTGTTTGGAAGAAAATAAACGTGAATAAAATAATGTAAATATATTTGAATTGAATTGAATTGAATTAATATATTTGTCGGTAATCGGTGTTCTCTACACCCCCCCCCCTCCCCCCACTGAAAAATGTCTGGCGATGCCCCTGATAACAACACAGTTTTTACACTCGAGATAATTTTAGCAAGTACTACTGTGAAGTACCGGACCACCGGCTTTGTGCATTGTGCAGCAACGAAGCATATACAACGTCTCACGACGTGACAGATCACCTTTCTCTAAGTTCTAACCAACTTATGCCTCGTTTTTTTTTTCTCCAGGAAGTGCCAGTGAACATTAATGCACCAAATGTGGTTCTTAAATTGCAAAAGATCCCTACTCTTGGAGGGGTGGGAGAAAGCAATTTTACGTCATATTACTCCAGGAAGTGCCTGAAATGCATCTAATGTGTTTCTAAAATTGCAAATGCTTCCTACTTAAGGAGGGGGGGGGGGTCAGAACCTCCTCCCAGACCAACCCCCGCTTGGTCGATTTGCTCCCTCGCGAGGCCTCGCCGCTAAAGCCTCGCTCTGTCGCTTCATCGTTTTACACATATTTCACCCCATGCCATTTTGTGCCCCCCCCCCCCCGGTAAGAAATTTCTGGATCCGCCACTGATGCCCATACCCATTGTCTTCAGGGGCTCCGCCCCTTGACCTCCGCCGGGGCTTCGCCCCTAGACCCCACTTTGAAAAACGTTCAGCGGGGCCTGCATTTAAGAGTGGGGTGATGCGGATTTTTTTTTTTTGTCAGCCTCTCCCCCCCCCCCCCCCCCCCCCCAACGTTTTTGCTCATTACGCCATACGGGATATCTTCAAAATGTAGTATAGATTTTAAATGATTTCTCCTTTTTGGGGGACCAATTCACCAACTTGAAATTGACGTAGATTTAGCACTCTCAGCCTTTAAGCATTCATAACTGCCCTTTCAAAATGTCATCTGCTTGTTTCTCGGGCCTCTCGAATTCAGCTTGTGACAAAGCTTAAGATTGCCCTCTAGACGCATGAAGTATCATTTCGATTTCGTTATGTGCTAAAAAGCGAGTTATGCCTATGAAGACAATAACATTATATGACTGATGTCCCATTTGCAGCCAAATTCCTGTCTTAAAGATACTATGTCCCTTTTGCAGCCAACATCAAATTATGTAGAACTTTGCAGGAATGATGAATATGTCACATAATGTCCCATCTGTGAAATTTAAATGTTAGCAGGGTACTATTTTTCAAATTATGCAAGCAAACCCGCTTATTTTCTAGATTTTACTGTCATATACTATTGAGTGACTGATTGACTTCTTATTTTTCTTTGGTAATAACATACATAAAATGAGCTGTAAAGGGTCCATGAGCATTTTTTTTACTACATCAATAACCCACTTTTTGAAATGGCCAAAATTAAACTGATTGAATCTTTGCGCAGCAAAACACGTACGACCATTCCGTACAAGGGTCTCAGAAAATCAGACTATTTACTAAATGGATTGCAATCACTAAAGTAGATTCGACAACTAACGGTTGTTTTTTTCCCACAAAAAGACATTTTCAAGTCCTTTAATTTAATTTAGTA